TAGGATCAGCACTGGACTACGACCCACAAGGTCAGCAGTTCAAATTCACCAGCCATTATGGTTCTGAACCCATTCGACGGCACACCACCACCATCATAATTATAATTAATTATTAATTATAATTATGTTCTCATTATTATTATAAAACAAGTGCAAAGTACAGTCTAGTAGGTTCCAACTCATAGCAACCCTGTATAGGGTTTCTGATCAATGGCTGGTGAATTTGAACTTCCGACCAGTACTGATCCTACTGTGCCACACCAAGAGTTTTATAAAGCAATGGCTTCTATCATATGCTTGATATGACTGTTACAAAGTGGTGAAAAGTAGTTGGATTTTTAAAAAACGTTTTGTTGTGAATTATGTGACAGATTACATGGGAGAACATTAGCTTTACATTCATCCTATTGTATATTGTTTCATTGCCATGGTTACAATCCCTTCCATGCATTGTCAACCAGCCAAAGGTTTTGTGTGCCCCCTGGTCATCAGCACACAGCCCCTCTCCCTTTCTGCGTCTGAAGTCCCCAGCTACTCCATCTCTCCACATCATTGTCTCTGCCTCCATCTTTAGTGTCACTGCTTCTCTGGGTAGAGTTCCACTCTCTGCTCTTCTCTCTTAATGGTCCCAGGGACCTCCACTCCTAGACTGCAAAGTCAATCAATCATTCCCCTCCTTTTGCTACAAAACATGTACCTTTACATTTCCAACCCTCACAATCAGTCCTGATAACAATTATTCACTATTGTATCACAAGAGACCTATCCGCATCTCCTTTCATCAGCCCCGCCTAGACAGATTGGATACTACTCAGTGAAAAGTAATAGCTTTTGTTCTCCTTTTTCTTTAAAATATTTAGAGATATTTCCTGGATTTAATTACCACAGATGCGTGATAGTGGGTCTGTATGAATCATGAAACCAGCAGAAGATGTGTAGAGCTTTAGGGTCCCTTGTTAGTACAGTGATAGCCTTGATTCTCATTAGTATCTTTTCCTTGCACCTCCTAGATATAGCACTAACATTCAGTCATTCCTATATATATTCGTGAGCATCACAGAAAGTGATAGGAAAAGAAAAACAAACAAATGCACATGAATGAAATTACACTTTTTCTAAGAAGAACAATATCCAGAGGGATCAGTCTTTTTTAAATGAATTCTCCAGAGACTTTTCACATTTTATTCTACATTTCACATTGATGTCTCAGGTCTTGATCCTACTCTTCTTCCTTCATATGCATTTCAGGGGGAGGAAGTAAGTTGTAGCAAAATCTTGTACTCTCATTCCAATGCCATGCCAAAACTCTGTTTTCTATTCCCTACAACTTGCTATGCTTCAACAACCTTGAGGAGGGCAAGCAAATTGGTGATTTTGCAAAACACAGCCCTGTTGTGAGAAACATATAAAGGAACAAAATGTATGCAGTAGGCACAGATCCTGACCCACTCACTGTAGGCTCTCAGAGCTCTCTGGGGTTTGTAGAATGAAGATTCAGAATATAGCACAGCAGGTGCAGGGGCTGGCTCTCAGGGTTCCCTGGGTTTTCCATTAGAAGAATCAGGATTTCATCTATCTTCTGTCAGGAACCCAGGCCTTCTGAGTCTCATTGGCTGCCCCAGTGGGAATGACTCCACTGAAAGTAGCTCTTTGGTGTTCTGCTCATAGCAAACATTGGGAGTGGGGTTTGCAGTAAGACCATCTCTGACCCTAGGGCTCTCCTCTCTATGCCAATTAGAGAAGCATCTTTCTATAAGGACTTTTTTCTTACATGTATGGCCCAGAAGGGGTAGTTTGGTGTCCCTCATGGTTTCTGGGGTTTTTAGTAAGATCACTCTGTAGTTGGTACTGTGTTTTTCCATAAGAAGTACATTGTCTCCTTTTCTATGGTGTTTAGAAAGTATTTATGACTATTAACTAAATTGTTTATTTAATTGGGGCTTCAGCAGTTTGAACTCCTTGATGTGTAGCTTATACAGGGTAAACCCACCAAACTCACTGATAAATATTTGATTTTTCCCTCTCTTTACTAATTTTTATAAAAAAAATTTCCTGTCATTCTTCAAAGGCCATTAACAATTTTACTTTTTGTTGTTATTGTATATAGTATCATTTTGAACTAACTACTTTTTAACTTTTGATGAGATACAAAACTTTGTATAAGTTTTTGAGCAGAGAAGTGACATGATTTGACCTATGCTTTCAAAATCACTCTGGCTGCTGTGTTCAAAAATAGACTATGGAACAACAGTGAAAGTAGAGGATAAGTTGGAAAGCATTATAAATCCAGGAGATAAAATTTGGTGAGTTGACCCAGGTTGGTAGAAATGGAAATGGTGAGATATGGCTAGGTTCTGGATATGGTTTGAAGGTAGAGCCAAGATAATGTCTGTCTCAATTGGATGTGAAGAGAAAGAAAGAAAGTAAAATATTCCAGAACACCTCCAATTTTGGGGGCCTAACCAAGTGAAACTTCTGAGTCAAGAACTCATGTTACCTCTCACTTCCAGATGCCACACAGGGCAAGTACCAAAGATTGTGAGTAGCAGCAGGACTTTACTGATACTCTGTCACAGAGTGAAAGCAATGACTCCTTAGAAGAGTGAATCTCAGGTCTTGTCATAATCAGTACGCTGTGAAGTGATCAGGAGTACACAGGTGCTTATTAATAAGTGTGTCCTGAGTCAACATGAAATATTTCATGTATAAAATTGATTAGATCCAAACATGTTGCTGTTAGGTGCTGAAGTCCTTCTCATAGAGACCCAACAGAAAGAAACATTGGGAAATGTTGTTTACAGGAGCTGGTTCAAGACCATAGAGAGTGAAGGAAATTTAGGCTGAGAAAAAGGGAGTCACTTTGAATATTTAAACAAAGCATTGTGGGCAAAGCTGAAGGCAAGGAGGGAGTTTAGGAAGCTGTTAAGCTTTTACTGGTAGCATAGTGGTTACAATTCGAACTGTGAACCACAAGGTCAACAGTTCGAAACTACCAGCTGTTCCGCAGGAGAAAGATAAGTCTTTCTGCTCCCGTAAAGATTTACAGCCTCGGAAACCCTGTTCAGGGTCGCTATGAGTTGGAACAGACTCATTGGCACATAACCACCACCACTATACTCGCAGGGTAAGTGTAGCTTGATATTTGACAATGAAGCCAATTAGGTGACTTGATTGGATTTGGGAAGTGTGAGAGACATTATTTCCCAGGTTTTGGTGCAGTTGTTACAAAGTTGGGAAGGAAGGCAAGATTAGGATGTCTTCCTGGTGGATGGTATCCATTCTAACCAATGGATATTCATGCCCTTATTCTTTAAAAATCTTGCATCCATTTTTGAAATGTTCAACAGACTTATCACCTTCTCCATGGTTTTTCCACTAATGTCATTCATCAGATAAGGTCTCATATCTGGATAGAGGATTCTGCTTACTGGTGTTTGTGGTTTCTCCATTAGAGCAGGTTGGCACTTTACTTACATTGACATGGTGTTAGCCCAAGATGAGCTATATGATATGTAAATGCCTGATGTGTCTGCAAACTTGTGTTTTTGTTCTTAGTTTCAGAATACAAGAAAAGAAAGGAAGGTTGGAGTTCTTTCCAAGGGAACTGTGGTGAGGGCACACTTCACTATGAGCTTCGAACCCCATCACTTCAAGAGGATGACGGAAAGGTGGCAGTAAGGGATGCCCACAAACACCTTCAAATAAGACAGTAAGTGATCAGACAGCATGCTTTGCCTGTAGCAACCACTGGGAGTATACAACACTCATTCTTTGTGCTATGGTTTTCATCCCCCACTTGAAGACTAAAGGATGCTAACAGTGAAAGAATAGTTGAACAACCATGATTATATCCCTGCTATCAGTGAGGTGAGGGTGTGTAGAAAGTGTTCTAAGAATTTATGGGAACCTTCCTTCATCTGTTTTCCCACAGTACACCCTACATCATCCAATTCAATAATAGAAGAGTGGGATGTCACAATAAAGATCTTATCTACATTACTGTATGGCAAGACAGAAGAGGCCCAAAAATGAAATTAGAGAAGAGGAAGTATGGAAACTCCAGGAGCTGGTTTAAGATCATAGTGAGTATCCTAGAAAAATGTATGGAGTATGTAGGGGGAGTGTTGATGGTGGGGCTGCTCAGGTGAAGTTGTGCTGGGGGCACAGGACTTTGTCATCTTTCCTTTACTATTAGAAGTAAAAATGCTTTATAGTCTACATGTTAAGGGGAGGAATAAAAAGGGAAAAGCTTGGCAGAAATGCCGGTGCTGCTATCTAAGGCAAACATGGGAAAGACTGCAAATGCGACACAGCAACTCCAGCGGCATGACTCATTTGGGCTCAAATTGAGTGGGTGTGTTGGAGGAAAGGGGGAATGTGAGGTCCAGTCCCTGGAGTCTTTGTCAAAGAAGCAGGCACAGTCTGCATGAGGTAGGTTCTCATGGAATCTAAAAAAAGGAAGTTAATATCATATATCTAAATTTGATTATTTGGAGGACAACTTTAGGAATGGTAAGAAAAATAAGAAATGTCAATGGTTCTTTAGCAGTCTTTGTAAAAGTGCAATAGAAAGTCAGAACAGAACAGTTGCTTGGGTCTGTTCTCTAGTCTTAATTCCATGTTATAATTATTCTCTCCTATACTTTCTGGAGTCCTGCTGTGGCACTGTTGGATAAGCACTAAATCAGAAGGTTGGTTTTAACTGCAAGGTCGGTGGTTCAAACTCACCAGCCACCTATGGGTCAGAACTGACTCAACGGCATTTAACAACAGCAACATACTTTCTTTTACTCTTAGGTACCTTATGGGAGAAAGTCTGACAAGATTTGGTTACTGAATTCCAACCAGAGCCACTGCAGTGTTCCTTTCACCCCATTTGATGTAAGAGAGGACAGATAAATCAGATGGCTGGGCACAGAGGAGGGAGGTGGTCTGGATCAGTAGTGATCTTTAGTCTTTGATATTATTGCTGTTGCCTCTGCTCCTTGTAGTTTCACTGCATGCAAAAGCATGACCAGTTCTTTATTCAGGATTCTACCCCTGTATCTCTGTTGAAGGCTATCCACAGGTTCTGGGATGAAGAGAATCAAAAGGTGTGTGTTGAGGTAATTAACTATACCTAGTCCTGGTGTGAAGCCCTAATAGTGTAGTGTGTTACTCATTGGGCTGCTAACCACAAGTTCAGCAGTTCAAATCAACCAGCAGCTCTGTGAGAGAAAGATGAGTTTTTCTGCACCCAGAAAGATTTACAGTCTCAGAAAGCTTATACAGTGCACTATGAGTAGGAATTGACTCAGACACACAGTAAAAATAGTCCTGGTGTAGCACTGTATGATAAGCCTGAGCTGCTAACCACAGTGCCAGAGGTTCAAACTGCTCCTCAGAAGCCTTATACAGGGTCATATGAGTTGGAACTGACTAGACGGCACTTAAAAACAACAAGAAGTACAGGGACAGAAAGACAGTTCAAGGACTTGATCATCTTCTATGGAATTAGAATTCCTGATACTTACCCTGCATCTTTTTCTTGCAGAAATCAATCGTTATCAACCCTTCTGTTGTATACCACTTTCTGCAGAATATATTGAAGCCAGAACAAATAGAACAGCTAAAGGTAATGTAGACTCATGGCATGTTATGCACCTACACACAGACCCATTTTTCTTCCACCCTGATTTCCCCATGTGTGGCTATGTGGGTTACTGTACTAGACTGCAAGGTTGGTTTGAACCACAAGGTCAGCGGTTCAAGCTCACCAGCTGCCCCTTGGAAACCCTATACAGGGTCGCTATGAGTCAGACCTGACTCAATGGCACTTAACAACAATGAATACCTCTACAAACAATTCAGAATTGCTATTTCCATCTCTGTCTTTGCAGCTGGCCATGAATAAATGGTTTGTCTCCCAGCAAGTTGTTGACTTCCAGAACTTCCACTTTGATCCAGAGATGGCTGACAGAAGTTATTCTAGGGCAGGTAAGGGCAGAGGTGTATTCGTGGAAGGGAAGGATGATAATTTGGAGAGGCATTGGCACTGATGCTGTTATAGTTGTCCATCTCAGCTTTCTGATTCCCTTCTCTTGGCTTTCTGAAGACTTAGTAGGCTACAATATTGACATGAGCTTGAATGGAGAAAACTCTATGGCTGCCATGCTGAAGATCATCAAAGAGAATGTCCTTGAGGTGAGACCTTAGGCCCAGTGCCTTAGGTATAGAAGTGAAAAGGCTATGATGGAGGACTGATTTGTCTCTAAGGCCCTACTTAGTAATCATCTCTCTAATTCTTCTTCTCCAAAGTCATTGCCCTTGAACTTGTGCAGCTACAAACATTATCAACTGGATGACCTACCTGATACTATACAGAAGGCCTCCAAAGTCAAGAACTTGAACCTTTCCAAACATTATGTGAGAAGTGGAAGCCAGATCTAATTTGGGTGGAGGGTGGGTGATGGTGCTCATCCTAGTGATGGCATGAGGCAGGAAAGAGCCTATGAGTGAGTGTGAAGACTGGTTGTGCAAAGGCTCAGATGTTTCTGGGTCCCTGGGACTCTTTTTCCTTGTCCCCTCCCAATTTTCTTAGCTAAAGTCAGCTTGGGAGTTTAAAGAGCTGTCACAAGAAGGAAACTCATTGTGTGACACACTCTCAGACCAGTCCACCAATATAAGGTCAGTGGGGATCCTCTGGGTGGGACAAATGGCTAAGCCCTCAACTACTAGCCCAAAGGTTGGCAGTTCAAATGCACCCAGAAGCACCTCAAAATCTGGCCTAGCTATCTGCTTCTGAAAGGTCACAGGTTTGTACACCTTGTAGGGCATAGCTATACACTGAAAATATGGGATCACCATGAGTCCAAATTGACTCAGTAGAAACTAATAACAACTATAAGGTCAGAGTTAACTATCCTGGAGACCTTCAACCCCTAGCAGCAAATCAACCCCTGCCAGTGCCTGTTTACAGGAGACTGTAGCCCCAGTCTTCTGTCAGGAACTCTCATCTTTGCTGAGGTCTTTCTGACTTCTTCTGACCTGCTAACTGTTACCTTCTGTTTTCTACTTCTCTGCACCCAGCCTTTTCTTGACTGGCCTTCCTTGAATGTGCTCTAGGAAACAGGGTTCCCTCTACCTCTTTAGGACCAGCAGTGTACATACTGTACCTTGCTCCCTCACTGGGTCCTCCTTGAGTCAGGTCCTGGTGCCCTGGACTGTGAAGGCCCTTTCTGACCAGGGATCCCTGCTGAGGCAGGCCTTCCTGCTTCTGAGCTGAAATGGGGCTTCTCTCTCTGTCCTATGATGGGACCTCTATCTCTTGCTCCCAAAGCATTCATCAACCTGTGCCAGGCTGACATGGGGGATTTTCTACTCCATGCTGAGGGTTGGTTGTATCATGACATCTCTTCCTGTGGCTCAGTGCCAGAAGTTGGGCCATACTTGAAGGATATCTTGGTTCCCTGAGTCAGTAAGTTAGGAGCGGTTTACCTGCAGTGAACAGAGGGCATCCTGAGGTGGGTGCCAAGTGTGAAAAACTGGGTACAGAAGCAGATGAGGATATAACATAGTCTTCACAGGGGCACTGACCCCCACCCTGGTCCTTCAGAAGGTCACTGGGTAAACCAAGATTCCTCAGACAAATCACTACCTAAGACAGGCACAGTTGTTCAGGAGCCATTAGGGGAGAATGTGGTGCTCGTAAGAGCGGTCATATACTCTGAAATCCATAATGTGCTAGTACTTGAACCTCATGCCCCACTCAGCAGATTACATAGGTAGATCAGTGGACCCCAGGCCAACAAGAATCTGCTCTCCATTCCTACCTCAGCCCTAGGACTAGCCATGAAGGACAGCATGGTAGTAGAGGAACCATTCCACCTTTCTTCCCTCCTTACTTCCTAATCCCAACGGCCCACAGAAACTATCTTCCTTTTGCCTTTCCTTGACTTTCTCCTTCTTTTTTTGTCTCCATTCCCCTATGTCTCTGCATCTCTCTTCTCCTCTATCTTCACTCCCTTTGTGTCCTCATCCCTTCCCTGCCTCCTGAGCTGGCCTCATCCTTCTATCTGCCCCAACATCCTAGGTCATCCCTAAGGGGCATTCAGGTCTTCTTATCCACAATCAGGCCTGGAAGAGCACTAGTCACCCAGTAAGGTAGCAGAGACCTGGGCTCTACCTCATTCCTTCATCCCTCTGGAGCCTTCTCTGAAGACTTGGAGGGAGGAAAGAGAGGCAGAGAGGAAAAGGAATCTCTGGAAACTGGCCTCTACATGCTGTTTCTGTGTCACAAGAGAAAGGGGTAAGGCTCTCCCATGTGGGAGCTTCCAGGGAGGAAGAAAAGGAGGAGAAGCATGTGGTGAGAGCAATTGACAGGTTGTACCTTTAAGACAGTTTATATGGGGGTGCCTAGTGCTCCACAGGAAATGTGGAGCCAAGACCCCTGAACTCAGATGGAGTAAGAAAGCTTTAGGGGCTCCTGAATGGGCAGAATACAGTGGGATGTATTAGTGGCAACAGTGTGTTTGTTCAAAGCAGACAGCCCAAAACTACATTGTCAATTACTTCTTCCTATTTTGGGTTTTGCACAGTGACATCCTGGAGAGTTTCTCCAAGTTGTTATGCCTGGTAAGTGCTTACCTTCATTATTGTCTCTCCTAACCAACATTGATGGTCTGCACATCTTCCCTCAAGTCCATATATTTTTGCACCATCCCCTTACCTGTTTTAGAAAACACAGACTTCAGACAAGCCATAGCTAGTGTCTCTTTAAAATAAAGAGATCCATAAAACACAGACAACCATACACATTGCATATCATAGTAGATGCTTCCAGGCCCAATGGAGAAAACATCAACTTTATCAACTTTTCAAGGCCAGTGCACACCTGACCTTCACTTTCTGCTGTACCCCTTTATCTGTACCCCTGAGTAGTGTCACTGGTCCACATTGCTGACTTCTTTCATTCCCCAGGATGACAAGGATTCACTCCCACCAACTACTCCTCAAATTGAAGCCTCTGAGATAAGGAAACCCTGCAAGGTAAGTTCGAGGTACCAAGCAATGGAAAGTGTATATTGCAAAGAAGGTTTTGTCAGCTGCATGTCCAAAATGGTCTTTTGATTCCAGGAAAGTTACATAAGTTCTGATGCCTTGAAGGATAGAATCTTACAATTCTTGCAGGAGTGAGTACTTCTGGAGCCCCAAGGCAGGGAGGACTGGGAAGGAATGGCCACCCAGGCACAAGTTTGCTCATGGGAGCTTTCAAGTTCACTGGGAGGTCCTAAGTGCAGAGAGCCTTTGCTTCCCCACAGGTTTTATTGGATCTATGACTATGGTGACAGGCAAGGTCTCCTGGATACTTACCATGATGAGGCCTGCTTTTCACTGACCATTCCCTTCAACCCTGAGGACCCAGCACCGTGAGTATCACAGACCCAATGTCAGCACTGGACCCTGTGACTCACAGGAAGACAGTAGCTAATCCCAACTTCCTGTTCATCTTTGCTTCTAGAAACAGGTTAGGGGAGTACTCCAAGAGTAGCAGGAATATGAAGAAACACACAGACCCCAGTACGTGTATGAAGAGGAGGAAGATTGAGTGGGATAGGAGTTGTGAAGGGGTTGATGATAGGGATCAAGTGAGTGAGGGAAGCCCTTAATCTTCTCTTCTCCCCACACAGTCCTGCGGATTCAGTTGCTGAAACACAAAAAACATGACATTGTTGACTTCCTCAGTATGTTGCCCAAAACCCAGCATGACCTCAGATCCTTTGTGATGGACATCTTTGTCCAGACGGTGAGCACCTGTTTCCTTCCTGAGGCACCCACAGAGCAAAAGTGGGTAGGAAGTTTGCAGGGATCCTAAGCTGTTTTACTCTTTCAGGAAAAGATGCTCTGCTTTTCTGTCAATGGACTGTTCAAAAAGGGTGAGTGTGTATAGAATTTCTTCCTTGTGGTCCCTACTTTTTCCTCTCACAACTCTCCAATTTCTCTTATTTCTCTTCCTATTCCCTCAGTGTTCTCCAGCTCCCACCCTGCCATCAAATTATCTTGGACTAACTTATGTCCATACCTGTCTGTTTCAGCATAGCCCAAGTGTTAGGAACATAGGCTGTAGAGTTTGATGCCTCTCACCTCTCTATCCCTCAATCTACCACCCTGGGACACTTACTTAAATTCTCAGTCTCTTCTTTTACAAAATTAGGCTAGAAATGACCATCTCTTGGACTGCTGTGAAAAAATAGTCAAATAAAGTTGTGAAGAAATTGTCACAGGGCATGGCACAGAGGAGGGACCTATCACTGAGAGATGATTATTCTTATATTTGCCCTCCTCATGACTGACACTCCTCCTGACTCCCAGTGGTCAGTTTTCCCTGTCTGGCCCTCTTCAGAGTACCATAGGACAACAAAACTTTGACTGGGGGACCTTGCTTATGAACATATAAAGAAATTCTGAGTGATATTGTTGTTTCTTGTCCTTGAAGAGGAAGGAATGTGTCAGACTTGCATTTGTGCCTTCAACCGGATCATCATAGCTACTCCTGCCAGGAACTCTAGGTAAGTGCTATTATAAGATGCCATGTGAGAATACTCTTACCAACCTCGGTGGGAAGATGACAGTATAGTTCTCAGGGCTTCTCTAATATTGAAGAATGTCAAAAAGTAGTTTCCAAAAGCACTTCAGTCTACTAGTTAAGAGCATGGGTAGTGGTATAGAAATAGAAGGTTATCCCACTGACTCCAGTACTCACCAACTGTGTGACCTTGGTCAAGTTACACAATCTTTCTCTTACCCAGCGTCATCCTCTGAATATTAAAGTTAGATTATCCACCTCCTTGGGTTGTTGTAAAGGGTTAAAGAGGTGTGAAACTGTTTCTGGATTGGAGGTAAACCTAAAAATCTAGTGAAGCTGGCATATATCTCTTCAAAGGTAGTTTCTGTGGGAGGAGAGTAGTGGATGGAAGGAAGGTGTTGCTGAGTAGGAGCAGGATCATTGTTGGGAATGTGAGGTTGTCTATATGTCCAACTGAGTTAGTATCCATTCTTCCTCCAGCCTATTCATCATTAATGAACAACTGTCTGTGAGGGAAGTCAGCCCCAAAGCGACCCAGAGTGCTTTTTCTACCCCAGTGCCCACATTCGCCTCTAGCTCTGTGCCTATCCTCTCCCAGAAACAGCAGGAAATGATACAAGCATTTTCCATCCAGTCTGGGATGAACCTCCAATGGTCTTTAATGTAAGTGTTGAGAGTGTATATGGAGGAGGGCAAACTGGGCAGAGCTGGGATATGAATATGGGAACTTGCAGCTAACTGAAAATAAATACTTGAATTTTTTGTTTCTGAAAAAATGGCCCATGGAAAATTTATCCTATTATTTTATTGATACATGTAAACATTTTTACAAATAAGGTAATGATCAGATAACATGAGCTTGTACATGGGAAATCTAAGGAATATTCTAAAAGTTACAAGAACTAATAACAATTTCAGCAAGATTACATGATGTAAGACCAGTATGCAAAAATAATTTATGCTTCTATACATGTTCAGTGAATAACCACACAGTGAAATTAAGAAAACTATTTCCTAAACAACTGCATTAAAAATAATAATATACTTAAGAACAAATTATAGAAAAGGACTGTGAAATGTATACTCTGGTACCTGAATAAAAGTTAAAGAATATCTTAATAAATAGAAATACTGCATGCTTATGGATTGAAAGATGAAACATTGTTGAGATGGAAATATTCCCCAAATTGATCTATAGCTGTAACTCAATCCCCATCAAAACCCCAGCTTCTTTGTAGAAATTGACTGCTGGACCTAAAATTTACATGGAAATGCAATAGTGCCAGAATAGCAAAACAATCTTGAAAATTAATAACAAATATGGAGAATTTATAATCCTCAATTTTAAAACTTAATACAAAGTACAGTAATAAGGTCCAAGGGAAAATGTTTGAGTAAGCAGATACATTAAGCCAACATATATAGATTATAATTCTGGAACCCTGAGCATCAGAGGATATGACAGAGAGGTACACTGAGTACCCAGTGGAAAAGGACTCTGAACAGGAAGAGTGAGAGAGAAGAAAAATGGGAGGACTATTGACTGGCAAGGCAAGACGCAACCATCTTGAGCTTTTGCAAGAAGCTGTTGATATAGTTGTCTGCAGGCAAAGGATGTGGCTGCAAATTGGACATGGCTGGAGGTTGGCGTCAAGGGGGTATAGTCCTTGCCCTCACTAACCCAGTGGTCAGTGGCACAACCTCTTCTCTGCCTAGAGTCAGGTTCCTAGCATAGCATCCCTGTTTCTGGAGGAGGTGCATGAACCCTCCATTAATTACACAACAGTGAACAGAGAACTAACTGCGTTCACATTTCTGGTCTTTGCCTTATCCACCAAGAGACAGGTGATCAGTGCCTGAGAATACAGCAATAAATATTACTTATATTTATATTTAATTGATATATTGTAATCAACTAAATATAAACATGATACCACATATTATATAAAGTAATCAATTAAATATAAATATTATACCACAATGTCTCAGAAAAGACTATTTCAGTTTACACAATGAAACAAAATAAAGTGCCTCAAACAAGTGACCAAAACACAGAGTCTGAAAATATAACAGAAATGGTATTGTAACTATCTGATAAGGAATTTAAAGAATGCTAATTAGGAAACTTCAAGGGATTGTGAGAAAGATGGAGAAAACTAAAAATGAAATAAAGGAAAACAGGCAAAACTATGAAAAAACTCAGGAAACAAACTGATAAAATAATTTAAAAATGAGAACCATACAAAAACAGCAATTAGAAAGCCAAATTAATACTAAGACTTCAGAAATAGACATGTTGAAAGGGCAAATAATTAGAACTGAATCAATGAAAAGTGGAATTACTGAGTTTAAAGAAAAATCTCTCAATATTCATTTGCTAGAGTACGAATCGGGCTGCGAACCTTAAGGTCAGCAGTTCGAAACTACCAGCCGCTCCGCGGGAGAAAGATGAGGCTTTCTACTCCCGTAAAGATTTACACCCTTGGAAACCCTGTACAGGGTCGCTATGGGTCGGAACCGACTCGACGGCACTTAACAACAACAACAAGAGTAACAATCAGAGAAAAGAACAAAATATTTTGAAGAAAGCCTAAGATATATGTGGGACACTGTGTGGCACTGTGGGTTAATGCACTGAACTGCAAGGTTGGTTTAAACTCCAAAGTCTGCGGCTCACCAGCCACTCCTGGGAAATTCTTTATAGGGTTTCTGTGAGTCTGACTCACTTAATAACAACAACAATCAAGAGGAATAACTTAATATATGATAGGAATTCCAGAACACAAAGAGACTTAAAAAAAAAAAAAAAAAAGAGAGAGAGAGAGAGAGAGAATATCATTCAAGAGTTGTTGGAAGAAAACTTCCCTAACATAATGAAAGACAATAAGATAGCCATTCAAGAAATGGAATGAACTCCAAACAGGATGTTGTGGTTGTTAAGTGCTGTCAAATCGGCTCTGACTTATGTTGTTATTGTTAAGTGCCGTCGAGTCAGTTCCAACTCATAGCAACCATGTATAGGGTTTCCTTGGAGGGGCTGGTGAGCTTGAACTGCAGACCTTGTGATTCAAACCAACCTTGTGGCCCAGTGTTTATCCTACAATACCACACCAGGACTCCAGGTCCAACTTACAGACTCTGACTTAATAGAGACCCTATGCAGTGTTTCTCAGGAGTGGCTGGTGGGTTTGAACTGGCAAACTTCTGGTTATCAGTCCACTGCTTTTCCTATAGTCCCACACCAGGACTCCAAACAAGATAGATCCCAAAAGAAAAACATCAAGATATACGATAATCAAACTTTTCAAAACCAAAGATGAGGAAGGATTCCTATGAGCAGCTCAGGAAAAACGAAAAGTTACCTATAGAGGAGAATAAGACTAAGCTCTGATTTCTCAGCAGACACTAGGCAGGCAAGAAGACAATGGAATGACATATACAGAACTCTGAAAGAAAAAAAAATGCCAATCAAGAATCATATATCCAACAAAACTGTCCATCAAATATGATGGCAAAATTAGGCCATTTTCTGACAAACAGAAATAAAAAGAATTTGTGAAAACCAGACCAACTTTACAAAAATTACTATAGGGAATTCTTTGGAATGAGAACCAACAACATCAGGTAACAACCTGAGACTAACATACATGACAATATCACCAAGACTCAACCCAGATATAGAAGTATGCAAAGTAAAACAGACTTATACGCAAAAAAGTAGAGATACAATTGCAACAACAATGACAAAAAGACCCATAAAATAAAAATAGGCAATAATATAGTTACTGAACATCCAAAAGAAGAGGAAATTAAACAGATTTCATGAAAAAATAAATAAACCCAATTGTAACCATAAAAAGGGGACCAAGACTTGCTCCTAGCTTTATCTTAGCCCTTACTTTTAACACTAACCCTAATCCTAACCATTGTTGTTGTAGTTGTTGAGTGCCATCAAGTTGGTCCCAATTCATAGCGACCTTGTATAGTGTCTTCAAGGAGTGGCTTGTGGGTTTGAATTGAATGAACAGTCCAGTGCTGATCCTACAGCGTCACACCATTACTCCATCCTAATCATAATCCTAACAATAAACAGAGTCCTAGATCTAGTTTAGATCTAGCAATAATCCCTATTCTAACCTCACTCTTTATTCCTACCCACCCCCCCAAAAATATAATAAAAATAGTAAGTAAAATGAGATGGAAGGAAGAAAACTATAGTAATCAGGACTGTGTGGTACTGATATATGGAGAAACAGAGATCATTGGATTATACTTGAGAATGGACAAATAAATTATTACATTTATAGTCAATTGAATTTTTACCAGGGTGCCAGAAAAAAATTAAACAAGGGTACTGGGACACTTGTACATCCACTCACAAAATAAATGATTTGGACTCTACTCTCTCTTCATGTACAAAAATTGACTCAAAATAGATTAAAGACCATTTTTCACAAGGTCTTCATCATTACATAAGATTTTCATTCTGATACAGCCATTTACTTTCACTTGCAAACAAAATACACTCTCAATCTAAGCATAAAAAAGCAATAATAATAATAATAAAAAAGCAATGCTTTTGTTGTGGCATTGGGTAGGTGGAAATATGTTAATGGAGACCACCTGTTTTTCTCCCATCCAGGTGCCTTGAGGACAATGAATGGAACTACAACGTAGCTGAAAAGATCTTTACTATGCTCAAGGTGAGGTCTGGGAACTGAGTGAGTAAAAAGTGTATGTTTCTGGCCCTTTAGGAAGATGAAAAATGTGGAAGCCAGGTGACCTTGTGATGAAATTCTGAGTCCCTGGCTTTTCTGAAGTTCTGACTCTTCCCATTCTGTTCCTGCAGGCTGAGGGAAAAATACCAGAAAAGGCCTTCAAATAAAGCCATAGAAACCTGTTAACCAAGAAGCCAAAGGTCATTTGTAGGCTGAATCATCTAAAGGACCAGTTGTTCTGTGTATTTTCCTCACTCACAATTTTATAGTAAAGAATGATGTTGCATGCTCTATGGTATGTGTCTTGAGTTGCTCTTCTCCTGCTCCAGCCATGAGCCACTATAACCAGGACTGAAAGGACTAACCTCTTTGTTTAGTTGAACAGTTCCTAGTAGACTCATCATGCTTGCCTCCTAAGGTAGGTTGTCATTGAGAGAACACACATTGATTCCAAGAATTGGCTTTTGGAGACAGTGTGACTCCATCAGTTGTTGTACCTGGAGTGGGTATGTTACCTGGAACAACAGGGACACTGCAATGGACATACAATGGCTGGTGAGGACAGTGGAAGTAACAAAAATAAGGACTCACATGTTTTACTTCTTGTTCTTACTCATTTGAATTTTTTTCAAAGATTATAACATAAATACTCCCATTTTCAAATATGTGAATGGGAAATGGCCTTTCCACACGTCTCACCATACTTCTAACTGTATTCTCCTCAACCATATTCTCCCTCCCCCTTTTCTGAGAGTGTGCTCTCCCAGGTGTCTTACTTTAGCAACTACAGAGTGAGAGAATCAACCTGTTGGCCCATGCATTCCTCAGAGATCTGACACCAAGCTTTCTTTAGGGGTTTCAGCTATTTATTTTAATTCCCAAACTAATAGTAACAGTTTTGTGTGAACTTTCTCAATGACTGGCAGTTTGATGCTCAGAATTGCAGGAAAATGTTGAATAGGACACTTGCACAACTTATTTTCAATATTTCTATAATGTTTGATGTTCAACCATTTCAAGATTAAGAACCAATGGTACTTTTGACCTAGCTTCGATGGCTTGATGATCAAAATGCAACTAGAGGAAGACAAAAGAAAAAAAATTTGGGGTAAAGAAAACAAGTGTAAATTGCTACAATTTGATGAACTTGACCTATACTTTTTGATGTAGTAGCTGAAAATACCAACTGAGAGGGAAGGCGTCTTCACATCAAGGATCAAACCTATCCCTTCAATACACAGGGTGGATAAGGATGTGCAACTTAGACATTGTCTACCTAAAATGGTAGTGTAGTGGTTACGAATCAGGCCGATAATCTCATGGTCAGAAGTTCAAAACTACCAGCTGTTCCGCAGGAGAAAGATGAGGCTTTCTGCTCACATAAAGATTTACAGCCTCAGAAACCCTATGCAAGGTCGCTATGAGTTGGAATCAACCCCACGGCACATAACAACAACAACCTAAAATGCGGGGGGGACTATAAAAGCACTAAGTGACTTGCTTACAAGGTTTCAAGAGGGAATTTAGTTTTAGAGTGCATGGGATTCTACGCTGAATAGTTCTCAACTTGTCTAGATGGATCTGGTGCAAGGAGATGGGGATAAGATTTTTATGATTCAATAGTGAGTAATTGGTAGCATGATGAATTGCAATTGTCACAACTGTAAAGGTAGAAGTTTTATAACATAAAGGGGGGAGTAGTTAGTCTTACATCCCAAGAATAGAGGACCCTAGTACCATCAAGGGAGAAGAGCTTGAATGGAATGTGGGACCCTATCTAGAGAAGCAGCTACACCACAGATGAAGGCAGAGATGATAATATGGAGAGATAGAGCAGCTGAGGACTCTAGAAAGAGAAAGGAAAGAGAAAGGTTGTGTGCTGGCAGCCAGGAGGGTGACTTGCAGAATGTGCCTTTTGGTTGTTTAAATAATTATACATTCCTGAGTGTTTTTGTGTACATAAAATAAACAAACAAACAGAGGGAATACGAGCAATACTGCTGAATGATGATGCACTGAGGGGATTGTAATCATTACAATGAAATGAAATATAATAGGATGAGTGCAAAACCCATGTAAACTATCAATTCACAATAGAATAAATAAATAAATAAAAAACAATCTTATGGAAGGAAGAAGTCTAAGGTGCATTGAAGGCATTGGAAAAGAACAAGGCTCCAGGAATTGATGGAATAAAAATTGAAATCTTTCACCACGCTGATGCAGCACTGGAAAAACTCACTTATCTATGCCAAGAAATTTCAAGACCGTTACATGGTCAACATATTGGAAGAAATCCATATTTGTGTCTATTCCAATGGGATGTGATGCAATGGAATATGGAAATCATTGGACGATATTATTAACATCACATGCAAGTTAATTTTTCTTAATACAGAAATAAAGATTCTTTGAGAATATTATGAGCAATTGTATGTCAAAAATTAGATATTTTGTTGTATCTATTAGTCATTTTATCTTTCAAAACATCTATTCAAATCTTTTATTTATTTATATTGACTTGTTTATCTTTCAATTAGTGAGGTATAGAGTTCTTTATCTACTCTGGATTCAAATGATTTATGTCCCGGTGTGGTGCTGTAGGATGAGCACTGAAATGCTATCCAGAATGTGGGCAGTTCAAACCCAGCAGGCAATCCTTGGAAATCCTATACAAGGTCGCTATGAGTTGGATCTGACTTGAAAGAATTTAACAACAACATATGGGTTGCAAATATTTCTCACAGTGTATGTCTTGCCAATTTATTTTCTTACTGATATCTTTTGATTTATAGAAGTTTTAATTCTGATTAAATTCAATAAATCATTTTTATTTTGCCAATTCCTTCAATGCACCTTGGACTTCTTCCTTCAGTATTTTTGCCTCTTGATCATATGCAACCTCTTGAAAGGTTGAGCATCAATCATTTTTTTTTGGTACAGTAACTGTGTATTCCTTCCTTCTTTTTATTTTTTTAATGTTTTATTGTGAATTATGTGATAGTTTACATGGGAGAACATTAGTTTTACATTAATCCTATTGTATATCATTTCATTGCTATGGTTACAATCCCCTCCATGCATCATCAACCAACCAAAGGACATACACTATAAGCCTGCCCCACAGGTCATCAGCACACAACCCCTCTCCCTCTCTGTGTCTAATGTCCCCAACTGCTCCATCCCTCCTCGTCATCATCTCTGCCTCCATCTCAGGCATCACTGCTTCTCTGGGTAGGGTCCCGCTCTCCGCTCTTCTCCTTTGATGGTCCCAGGGACCTCTGCTCCTAGGCTGAAAAGTTAATCACTCCCTTCCTTGATACACAACGTCTACCTTTACACTTCCAACCCTCACAAGCAGTCCTGATAACAATTATTCACTATTGTATCACAAGAGATCCATCCACATTTCATTTCATCAGCCCCGCCTACACAGATTGGATACTACTCAGTGGAGATTCTACCTTCCTTCATGCCCTTTGAATCTAGGTTCCCTCTTGAAAGTTTGTAAGCCAGTCACTTCTTGCCTTTGTAGCCCCTCCACCCCCATTTTGGGTAGACAATGTTCAAGTTGCCCATCCCTGTCTACTCTGTGTATGGAGGGGGTGGGAATGAACCTTGCTGTAAGGATTTGTTCCCTTTTTTGATCTACTGCATCCATAGGTGTAGGTCAAGTTCATCAAATTGTATCAGATTACTCTTTTTTTCCTCTTCTTTCTTCTTCTGGTTGAGCTCTGATCATCCAGTCATTGAAGCCAGGTCAAGTGGGTATTATCTGCAAGTGTGGGTGTTCTTGTGCATATGCCCTCTCTTCTTATCAGCTGGATGCTTCACTCTCCACTCTAGTTCTCTGTGGCTATGTCACTGACTCTGGGCCAAAAAGTGCCAGGTCTTGCCACACTGCTAGCCAACCAGGTCTCCACCCAGGCTCACAGAAGTCTACTGAACATTGTAGGGCTAACCTTGCAACTTCATTGCTGTTTTTCTCTCACTTCACCTCATCGGTGATGAGTGTAGTCACCAATCAGAGCATGTATTCCCACTGAGTCTTAGTCTTGGAAGGGGTTTACACTGAGGGGACCCGACCACTTGCCTTGATGTCTCCTGTGCGAGCAACTTGCTTGTTCTTGTAGTAACAGTTGGTCTGCCTATGTTGTTTTATATTTTTCCTGTAGGTCTTTCTTTCAAGAAGTATCTTCTGTTCTTCTACCCACTCCAGGCTGGTATGCTAGTCCTTTCAAGCGGGAATTTCCCATTTCTGAAGATCTGGTTGTGGTTCAACTTCCACCTATAGTCTTATGTAATGCAGAGGCTCCACAGGAAGCCTCCTTCACTGGGCACGTTGTAGCCCCATTTTAGGTATTCCAATCAGTTATAGGCAGAAGACGGACTTAACAAGCTTTCTATGGTGATGTTCCTGGCTATTCCATTCTCTCCCCCTCCAGTGTCTATTTTATAATATAATGCAAAGAAAACCAAGATTCAAAAGACAGCCAAGCATCTTAAAATTATTCCCTCCTTCCCCCATTCCAATCATGTCTCAATCTCTGTATCTCAGAGCCCTGTTATTACAAGGTTGTGCATACATCATTATTTATCTCTGTCCCACTTAGCCCATGCAAACCTGCCTACTTGTTCTCTTATCTGCTTTGTTCTTCCATTCACCTCTCCCTTCTTGTTTGTATATTGCCCCCCTCCCCAGCACCCAAACTATACTGTGTCTATTCCCTCCTGCTCTGTGCTCCACCTTCCCCTCCCTCCATTCACCCCACCCCCCCATCTCAGCAACCAGCAAAGAATCCACCCTCCCTTTAGTATGGGTTCATTTTCTTAGTCTTTTACAGTAGTGGTCCTATGCAGTATTTCTCCTTTTGTGACTGACTAATTTCACTCAACATAATGTCCTCAAGGTTTATCCATGTTAAGTTGTGGCATGCAGCTTCCTTGTTATTCTTCAAGGTAGCATAGTATTCCATTGTGTGTATGTACCATAGTTTGTTTATCCTTTCTTCAGATGATGGGCACTTTGGCTGTCTCCATCTTTTTGCTATTGTAAATAGTGCTGCTATGAACATTGGTGTGCATATATCTTCTCGTATTGTGGCTCATATTTCTTGTGGGTAAATACCAAGTAGAGGAATTGCTGGATCATAAGATACTTCTATTC